GGGATACTGTAGTAGCCGGCAGCGTGGTCCGGAGTCGAGCACAGAGCCGGAGCGTTCATTGTACTGCTCTCGTGCCATGCTGCTGGGCGGCGTGGTGGGGTGGGGTGTCTTGTCTTGACCTCGACCGGGTGAGCGCTTGGTGGTTCTCCCTCGTCACGACCCTCGTGCCTGTTTTCTGGATGTGTTGTCCTGAATATAATGTCCGGGATTATTGGAAACTTTGAGGCGTCTCTCCTGGTTTTCTGTTGGGTCCGCAACGGGCCGGGTCTGGCGGGAATACACAGGGGAACTCTGTGCGGCTGTCTAATCGTAGGTACCGGAACCGAGGGAGTGGGTAGTTGGGTGGGTTGTGTGGGCAGTGTAGCTGGGACCTGGTGAGATAGCCTGCGTGGGTTTGGTTTTTGGGTCGTGTGGGGTCTGGCGCCGTTTCTCGTCTCGCTCTGGTTCTCTGCGTGTCGGGGCTAGAGTGTTGTGTTCAGGCGCGGCGCGTTTGTCTTCGCGGGGGGAGCAAGCTGGGAGGCGAGTGAGTCGGCCCTCCGTGGCGGGTCGGTTTGCTTCGTCTGCGTCGCGGGCGGGCCGGCCTTTGCTCTTCTTTTGGCTATCTCACGGGTCACGTGTTTTGTTGTGACTGTTACGTCCGATGTTGGGTAGTTCGCCGTGTGTCGGGATGACAGTGACGTATAGTGGCCTTATACTTGCTGGGCTTGTCTTCGACTTGTCGCTATTGTTGATACGTCTTGCCTGGACTCCGGCTCTCCCGGGTTGGGGGATAATTGATGAGGGTTGTTTTGTCGGGTAGTCGGTTGTGATTCTGGTTCTGCGGTGGCTCCTTTGAGTATATTTCCGCTTTGAACATAGGAGCGTATGTTGTCCCGCCTAGGGTGCAGCAATACCTGTATGTGGGCTTTAGATAGTGTTGAGTTACGGGCGGTTAGAAGGGCTTCAGCTTTCTTTTCGCTAAACTTGCTCTGGAGGCACTTCCGTGGGTCAGCGAGGGTTGCCGGTTACGCGTGGTAGCCTCTCTCGGTCCAGCAGGGCTGGTAAGTGCATAAAATACCACCGCTAAACGCGCTCATGAAACTAGGAAGTTACCTAGTAAGTTTGTGGTTAGGAAAGTTAGCTAGGGGCTGCGCTTCCTACTGCACAGGTGGGGCTAAGAATTGGCAGTTTCCTCTCTAAAACATAGCGGTTGTCATATAAATAGATGGAGGATATTGTGGGGGGCGTTTGTTGTGCGCGGTCTGAACGGTTTTGGATCATGACGCCAAGGAACTTTGGTTTGAAAACTAGCTGAGTTTATGATTACTGAGTGTATCCAGAGGTGACGCTTTGGGGCTGATCTTTCGTGCTCCGTTAGCGAGTTGTTAGTTTTGTGTTGGTGGCGAAATGTATGTAGTGTGTGCATCTGTCTGTGTTTTAGTTTGTCTGTCTCTGTTTGCTGGTTTTATGTTGAAAAGTGTTCCCCTTTCCCCATGTCTGTTGCTGTTGATTGTGTGCACCTGGTGCCCTGTGTTGTCTCCTCCCCCCCCACCTGTGTCTAATTGCTGATTAGTGTGCGTGTGTGTGTGTGTATTTAGGCTCTGTTTCCCTGTCTGTTAGGAGGCAGGTAGTGTGTGTGAGATCCTGGTGGCTGCAGGCTGTGCTCAAGGAACAGCAGCAGGATTGAAGCTGTGTGTCATTGTGTTCATGCTTTAATAAATGCCCACACCGGGTTATATTTGGGACGTTCTGCCGCTGCCTCCTTGCTTGGTCGGGCCGCTCAATTGTCAGCGTCACATGGACGCACCGTAATCCAGGAAGTTTTTGGTGAAGCGTGTATCGAGGCTTTTATCGTTTTAGGCCAGTGACGTCATCGATGACAAACGAAGCCTCGCTGCCCCTCGATACCACGTGACTGCTCAGGTAGTGATTTAGATCAGTTGAAACCATAGACTGTATATATAAATGTTGAAATGTTTATATATGTATGTATATATGTATATGTTGAAGTTGAAACACAACACCCATATTACTCCTCCTGTACCGGGCCCGGTGCCACGATGGGAAAAGAGCTCCGACCCTCACTTATATAGAGGACGGAACATGACATAAGTATAAATGCATAAATAAATGTATGAATAAAAACATGAATAAATAAATAAATACGGCAATAGATAAATAAATACAGGAATAAATAAATGTGGAAATAAATACAAGAACAAATAAATACAATAATATATAAATGCATAAATAAATATGGAAACAAATAAATGAATGTATAAATAAATACATAAAAGTTGAGAATAAAACAGAACTAGATGTATTTATTTACGTATGTCTGTGTCCGTATGCCATAGGCGGTCCTAACCTCGGTCTGAAACATGTTCAAAGAAAACAACACTTCACACATCTCCTAACACTTCCCCTGTTCAAGGTACAAAGGCTTTTGCATTAAGGATTTTTTTAGATTTGTATTTAATTCTTATTTTCATTACTTTATTTTTTGTGTTTAAGTAAAACCTTTTTTTTCATACTAAATTATATTTACATCTGTTTTTTTCAAGTTAGTTTTTATGATTGTATTATGTATTATATCATTATTTTATTTATTTAATTATCATTATCATTTTTATTTTATTTGATTATTTTAATTATCATATTTATAATTTTAAAAGATGTTATTGTTTTTGTATATATTTCATTTATTTTTCATGTATTGTATTTTTTATCATATTTTATCAAATAAATTATGTATTTATATTTTATTTTGTATTATTATTACTATTATAATTTCAATTGTATCCTTTTTTTATTATTATTTTGTGTATTGTTTTATTGTTATTGTTTTTAATATTATGTATTTA